AAACCCATCTGCATCCAACAGTCTCATTGCCTTTTGGTAGATCCACAATCTCCCATATCTGATTCTTAATTAAGGTTTCCATCTCTTCCTGCATAGCTATCTTCCACTCAGGTTTAGAGAGAGCCTCACTGACACCCTTGGGTATAGACACGGAGTCAAGGGAAGAAAGGAAAGCACGATAAGAAGGAGAAAGTCCACTGTAGGATAGGTACTATGAGATACAATGAGCAGTACACTTTCTCTTCCCTTTTCTGAGTGCAATAGGAAGGTCCAGGTCATCTGTAATGGGATTAGTAGAATCAATAAGAACTGAAACATTAGAGGGATCAAGAAGAATACCTGAGTCCATGTCAGCCGAATCTGGAGTCTCCAAGGAACCGATAGGAAGTGATGTGGGTTATGCTGCAATGGAATCAACCTCTCTATGAAGTCGTAGGTGTTGTCGTGAGTAACACTGACGCAAGGGAGGTGGTAAGATAGGTAACAAAGGAGGATCGGACACAGGGACTGGAACTGGAAGAGGAATAGACTGCTCACTCATTTCCCCAAAACACTCCCCCTGAGAAGAATCCTTCGAGAAAAAGGATGTGGACTCAAAAAAGGTGACATCCATAGTAACATACTGACTCCTAGAGACGGAGTTATAATAGCAGTACCCTTTCTGATTTTCTGCATATCCAAGAAAAGCACACTTCTTTGCCTTTGGATCGAGTTTCGAGCGATGAGGACCAAGAACATGTGCAAATCAAACACGATCAAAAACCTTGAGAGGGATGTGGAACATCTCCCCCTCATGAAAAAGGAGGCTGAATGGGGTACTGAATCCAAGTACACGAGAGGGCACCCTATTAATCAGGAAAACTGATGTGAGAACTGCATCACCCCAAAACCGAACTGGAACAATGGATGTGATCATCATGCTTCTTGCAATCTCAACAATGTGTCTGTTCTTCCTCTCTGTAACACCATTCTGTTGTGGACTGTAAGAACAACTGCTCTGATCGATAACTCCATACTCTAACAGATACGAAGCAAGGTTCTTCTCAAAATATTCCTTTTCATTGTTTGACTTGAACACCTTCACTGGTACCCCAAACTGTGTTAGGACCATCTGATGAAACTGTCGAACCAAGGACGGTACCTCATCACGGGATCTCATAAAGTAAATCCAAGAATACCGAGAAAAATCATCCACAAATAAAAAAAATATCGGTAGCCACCCATAGAAGGGACATGGTATGGTCCCTACACATCAGTATGAATAACATCAAAAGCAGATGAACATCTTTTATTACTAGCTTTAAATGAATGTCTACAATGTTTTCCAAGCTGACAGCTTTCACACTCTAGAAACAAGAAACGCAAAGAAGGAAAAGACAAATGTTCCAAACGATTATACCAAAGCATAATCTGACTCACAGACTCTAAGTCAAAATCCCTGCTAACATGATGACTTTGATGATGAGGAAGCGCATCCAGGAGGTAGATTCCATTCACCTCACGACCACTCCCAATCGTCCTCTTTGAAACCAGATCCTGCAAAACACAATGGCCAGGAGAAAAAATCACTAAGTAATTCAAGTTCTTAGTCAAACTACCAACAGATAACAAGTTAATACTCAATCTGGGAACATGAAGGACAGAGGGTAGGTAAATGGAATCAGTAATCTTGACAGACCCCTTCCTAGCAATGGGAACATGAGATCCATCGGCTGTGGAAACTCTGTCTCTGCCAGAACAGAGTTGGTAAGAAGAAAAAATAGTGGAACTATGGGTCATGTGCTCTGAGGCTCCAGAATCTATAATCCAAGGAGGTCCCTCCTTACCTGTAGTAGAAACATAGTTTGTAGTGGCATGTGAACTACCTGTATGAGCAAAGGAAGTAGAATGTCCACCACCAGAACCACCTGTACCTAGCTGTCCACCTGTTATCAGATTAGGGCAGACTGTATCTCGCTGATTTAGTAACTGCCCATATCTCTCAAGTTCGGCCCTCACTGCAACAGCTACAACATACTCCAAAGTAGCTGTAGTAGGGGGGCCAGGTAAGTCACCAGTGATTGCCATGTTAGCATTTCCCTTCTTGTTTTTGAGTCTATTCGGCACAAGGTGAGGATGAAGCTTCCAGTAGGTATTTCTCTTGTGTTTAGGCTTCTTATAGTAGTCACAAATCAGATCCTTCTTATCTTCCTTCCTGGTTTCACTGCCACCCCGGTCTCCACTCTGTTTAGGTTTCACAGTACTGACCTGGCTAACTGTTCAAGACCTAAATTCCTCATCATTACATTCCTTCTACTCTCTTCCCCTGATACAAAGGCATATGCCTAAGAGAGAGTAACACTATCCCTGTAAAGGATATGTTGCCTTGCAATGTCATACTCGAGATTGAGACCAGCAAGAAATTCAAAAACCCTATTCTTCTCTAAGAGTTTCTAGTAGGCGGTAGCATCCTTAGTGGTTTCCCAAACCACTATCTCCAAATGGTCAATCTCCTGCAACAAGGTTTTAAGGGCCGAAAAATAAACAACAATAGGTTTATCTCATTGTTTGGTAGAAATAACTTGGTTCCTCAATTGATAGGCCCTAGCAACATTTTCATTCTGTGAGTAGGTTTCTGCAACTCCATCCCAAATTTCCTTAGCTGTATTTGCCCACAAAAAATTTTTACTTATATGGGGCAACATAGAATTGCACAGCCAAGTCATTACCATATAATTTTCCTGTACCCACCGGGACTGTTAGTCTCGGGTTTCACTTCCTCACCAGCGGTATACCCCAACTTCCCACGAGCACCAATGGCCATCTTTGCAAATTGTGACCATTCTAAATAATTTGTACCATCCAACTAACTGTAGTGATGGTCTCATCCCCGAAAAGGTCTCCGACACCTCCTTCCACTGGTCCCATTTCACTCCCCGGTTTGTTCTCAATTCCGTGACCCTCAATAATCCCCAAAAAAGAGGTAAAAGATCACTTTAAGATGAAAGAATATGAAGTAAAACCCTTCAGGCACCACAAACACCCTTCTAGTACCCTAGATGATCCTCCCACAAAAGATTCCCTTTCTGCGGGGCGGGAGAAGAGAGAGAAGAAGCAGCCACTCCCTCCAGAGGCCTCCAAAACAGATGGGACTTGAATCGCCCCTTCAGAAAACTCCAAGGAACCCTAAAAAATTAGGGTGCCACTTCCTAGGTCAAAATTGAAGAGTCCTACAAAAACATGATTCTCCCCCTTTCTCCAGTTCTTCCTGAATTTGATGGGAAACCCTAGACCAGCTATAGGGCAAAACAGATCCACCAAAAAAATCCAAAAACTGGGCTTACTTGAGGTCTTCGATCAGCCTCTCATATCACCATGCAGTCGGCTGATCTAGGGCTGCATGATAAAGCAGCTCAAGAAACCTTCGGTCTGCTCTGATACCAAGTAGAATTTGCTGATAACAGTTTCAGATAAATGCCTTGTGAAGAAAAGTAGAAGAAGCTGAAAGGTTTCAGCAGTAGAGAAGAAGAGAGGAGAAGAAAAGAGAGTGGGATGTTGCCAGAATTGAATAGTTCTGGCCGCCAGCCCCTCTTGATTTATATACTTAAAATAAAAGAATGGAAGATTACATGAATACCCTTAGTAGGGTGGCTACTTTAAGTAGCTGAACCATCACAACTTAAAATAACATAAACTAATGGGCCTAAGGCCCAATTACTTCCTAACTAAACAACTTAAAAATAAAAATAAAAGGCTGGGCCCAATAACTTAATCGGCCCAACTCAACAGGAAGAAATAGAGAACAATTATTTTGAGGATCCATTTCCAATGGAGGAGGTTTCTAATCTTGTTACAGAACCTTTTTTTTTCAATTGTAACTGTTCTCTTTATTAATTGAAATAAAATATGTGTACATTAGAAAGTGCCAAGCACCCCAAACTTATCTTTAGGTAGCATGAGCTACCATACTCATGAAACATTTTTTGTTTATCTACAATGCTAGATATTAGACTCCCCAAATGTTATTCCTCAATAGAATTGAGCCCTTTCCACCCCCTGTTTGGATAGGGCATCAGCAAAACTGTTTGTTTCCCTTCCTGTCCATGGAAATTGAACTGTCCAATCTTGTTGATGTTTCCATAGCCCTGGGTTGCTTTTTAAAAGGTAGTTCACAGTAACTTTAACTTTGGAGTCACCTAACCTTCCACAATCATGTCTCTAAAGTTTAAAGATTTACCAAGCTGAAAGCCTTGTGTACAGCTGAAAGTTATGCACATAACTAATCCCCCTGACCTTGGATCCTGAGTACAATGCCAAAGTTAACCTCACTTATATGGTCTGCTGATGTCATTTGATTGCATTAATGACATCAGCAGCCGCGAAGATGCATAGTGACAAGAAAAAAAAACTCTTGAACCTTTTTCTGATACAAGATATTATTAGATGGTTAGCAGGCGCATGCCCCACAAGATATTCTCTGTAGGCGTATATTTATTATGTAGGGCTTGTGTGCACTGAAATTTGGAGAATGCAGTTTAGCATCAATTTCTTGAATTTTGTGCATCCATACTAGGACTGCAGGAATGATATCCCATGTGTATGAATTGGAGCACTGGATATTTAACTGAATATTCTGCTTATGGTTGCACTGAACTTATTCATGGATCCCATGGATGCAACTTTTTTATTAGTTTCTTTCTCATATTAACAGAAACTGAACACTTTCATTCTTTATCATGTAAAAATTCTCCAATTATTTCTCCTACATATACTGAACATTTTCATTCTTTTTATTCATTTTTCCTTTAACCCTATACTATATATTATCAATTCAAAGCTCTCTCTCTCTCTCTGAAAGAAAGATGCATTTTCATGTCCTTGCTTGCCTGTGGAGCTTTATTAGTGAGTTTATTATTTGAGGAAAAGGATCTAACTGATGTCTAAAATTGGGCTTACAGGTCCTGTCAGGTAGTTAATTGGCTGCTCCTCACCTAGTTTTAATTGATCTTTTGGTTATCTAGGTCAAAAATATTGGCTTCACTGGAGTCTTCAGGTTAATCTTTAAGCCACTGGTTGATGAGTTTCCTTGTTTTGGAGCTGTTTCTTATTCTTTGAGGGAAAAGGTGAAGCATTTCTTTCCATGAACTTTTTTTTTTTCCTAAAGAACATCTATTGCTATGATTTTCATAATTGGCTAAACTGATTTTTGGTGGTAGGCGTATGTGCATATTCTTGGTGTTTGTACAGAAGCATGCAAATATATATATATATATATATATATATATATAAACAAAAATCACTTTTATAATGCAAATATATGTATTGGACACATACAATCATAGATAGATAAATAGAAATTTTGACAAATTTTCTAAATTTTTATGGCAGAAAAAGCTGGATTTTACGCTTAAAGTTATTGGTGGTGATATATCAACAATTCCTGGGCTGTATGATGCCATTGAGGTTTGGAGAAATTTTATTATATTCTTTTCCTCTTACTTGCATCTATAGTTGCTCGTGTTCTGTATTAGGCTGTACAAACTTCCATTATGTAAATGTCATATCATCGCTTGTGCAAAACTGCAAAATATGTAAAGTTTTGGGAATGAATCAATGATCCTTTCATTTTTGTGTGTAACCTCTTCTAATATATAATAAATAAATAAACCCCAAACCCTAAGTACTAAATACTAAACTCCCAAATGCTAAACCCTAAGTTTAGGGTTTTAGGGCTTAATTAGGTTTTATGGTCTTTGGTTTAGGGTTTTATGGTTTTGGATTTTAGGATTTTGGGTTTAGGTTTAGGATTTTAGTGTTTAGTATTTGGATTTTGAGTTTTAGGGTTTAGGGTTTAGGTTTTAGGATTTTGGTTTTGAGGTTTAATATTTAGGGCTTAGGTTTATGATTTAGGGCTTGGAGTTTAGGTTTTAGGATTTAGGATTTTTTGTGTTTAGGTTTTTGGCTTTTGGGTTTTAGGTTTTAGCCCCTTCTAACACTACTGTAGCATAATTCTTCATCTCGGAAATGGTATATAATAAGCTTTTTCTTTAGAAGCCTACGAAATCATTTCTTTTTTTTCTCTTTTTGAAAAGGGAGTTCTTAACTGCTCTCCTTCTCCCCCTTTCTTTTTTTCATCCACTACTACTTGTCCACGTTGCACCCACCATGCCATGTCATCACCTTCTTCAACCTATCTCCGTTCCCACATCATCACTTTGACTTCCGATGTTTACCCAGACTTTCCTCCACAGTCCATGCAGCAAATCCTACAATCGGGGGATAGCTTCTGGTTTAACTTATATTATCTCTACTTTCGCAGGATAATGATCAATTACATTGGTTGCTTCAAGAACTCCTCCATAGGCCATGGCTATCTTCCCCAGAATGGCTTCTGTCCATAGGTTGAATGGTAGCCCTAAAAGCTTCAAATATAATAATCCCCCTCCTTTTTGCTTTTTGAACTGCAAGGATACCACCTTTCCACCACTACGTTCCCTGCATTAGTCTCAACTATGCTATGGCGAACCTTGGCTGCACATTCCTTGCATCCAATATAGCTTTGTTAGACTCAAATGGCATTAATATCACACTTTCTTTCAACTCCAACTTGCTTACTACTTCCAGAATCGGGCACCAGTCCTTAAACTCCTGTAAAGACACCACCATTCTTTTCTCCCAAATTTCCTATCGCCATTTACCACCAACTTCAGAGCCACCATAGAACAGAGCAGTGGTATCTCCAAACCTCTCTTTCCAACCTCGGGCTCTTCTGACTTCTCCTAACTTGTACTATTACTCTCTTTAATATTTTCCTCCTCTACTTCCATCTTGTTTATCATTAAGCGTTCCTGTAACAATTCTACAACTGCCTTCCATTCAGCCTTGTTTTTGCCTTCAGGGAAACAAATGAGTTGTTTTTGAGCATACCTGAACTGCTCTTTCAGCACTAGAAACCATCCTTTCAAGTTTTTCCTTTGTTCTGCTACATAAGAATATTCTTGGATAAGGAGAGAAGCAAAGAAGCTATCATAGAGACTATTACAATTAGAGTGGTCCATTGGCTGAAATCCTTGGATATCTTTTCTCTGTCTCAATGGATGGCATCCTCTTAAATTGGAAGGAAGTGGCTATTCTATTTTTAATCAAGGATGTCATGACTCCTACTTGGTCTCCAACAGAAAGAGGGTTTGTTAAGCTCAATTTTGATGGGAAGCAGTTTGGGTAATCCAGGTATGTCAGGAATAGGAGTGTTTAGAGATGAAGAGGGAAAAATAATGGTTTTTTATTCTGGCCCAAACGAGCAGGAGATTTTCTAAGAACTGAGGTTTTGGCATTAATTGAAGGGGTACAAAGGGAAAGATCTTCGAACATTAAAATGTTTATTGAAGGGGACTCCAAATTGGTTGTGGGGTGAGGAGGCAAAACTGTGGAGTTATAATAATGAAAGGAAATTCAAACGCTTCATACGAAGTATGGAAGTGAGAATATGATGGGTCAAAAGGAGTGCAAACTCCCTTGCTGATGCTCTTGGTAAACAAGGGGTGGGTAGAGATCAATTGTTTTGGACACAGTTGTAAAAAGAAGAATAGTTTCTATGAGGAGAGATAAGAAGGTTTATCTCTCATTGTTTGTATGTCTGTATTGTACTCATAAGCTACATCTATACTATTGATGAATTTTACAGTTATTAATAAAAAAATAACTTCTTCCCTCTAGTTTCAACGATATATTCCACCCTTGTTTTCACTAAATGTATCACCATGTCCAGAAACCCTTTGAACCATTCAATTACCTCTCCAACCAAAAAGACATTAGCCCTCTTTCTTCCTGTCCCTTAACGACACCTTACCTCTGATTTTACTTTCTTTAAGTATAAACTTTTTCACCTCAACGCTGAGCTCCTTCCAGCATTTCTACTCAGTGTAGAAAACTCATTCCACCATTTCTGACAGTGAAACTCAAAGTCTGAAGATTGTTATAACTTCAATTTTGTACATTAGATGGATCAGTAACCAGTATTAGGGGTTCAAGACGGATACCCAACTAAAAGAATTCACACAGCACCAGACCCATTTAAATTTTAGTAATTGCTCAACCTGAACCAATCCAAGTTGCAACCACCAGTATGAGAAAATCTGATAGAAGGACAAGAAAGTTTCCGGTCACTGTAAGTTTATGTGAAGGGTCATAGCTTAGCTCATATCCTTTAGAACTTGTTTTTAACAAAAGAATTAGAGAAATTTGCATCAATGTAAATTTCTAGGAACAAGAAATGTGAAAATTTTGGTAAGTAGATTAATCAACTGATTGATGAAGGATCAATCCCTTATCCTATTATAAATCTTGTATAGGCCAGAAGAAAAGAGTATCCCCCAAGGTGCTCAAACTAAGCATTAATTGAATTTACTGCACTTGGTGATCAGCACATCCCGCCCTTAAACCCATTAACTTAAGTCTCCTTATATCCTCCCATCCAACTGAACGTCTTTCACCATTATAGTAACTTTTCTAGTATATACTGGACAGAGTTGTTGTGCCTTCAAACAGAAAAAGAACTTAAAATAGAAAAAATAACTTGGTTGGTACTCATGAGAATATCCCTTTCTAATAAGTTTTGCAGAACAATGTTTTTGATCTTCTTCTAGTTATGTTTATCTGATGTTGTTATTCTCCTTGCAATTATGTATTAGTCAGAAAAAGAAAAAAAAGAAATGGGTAGGGATTAATTCCAACATGCTGCATTCTGACCAGCTTAACCACCAAAAAAATGGTGAATATATGGTTAATTGGATTTTTTTTCGAGCTTTGTATCTATTGAGGTGTAAGCTTGTGTGATATCTAATACTTTGTATAATGATATTAGTATATCCACTCATGCAGGGAACAATTCGTGATGCCATTGAGGATTCCCTAATATGGCCAGTTCGGAAAGTTGTTCCTATTTTACCTGGGGATTATAGGTATTGCATTCTAACAACAAGGTTGAACTACTTATGTAGTGGACCAAATGAAAGAAATTTATAACATCTACCAATATTCTTGGAAGACATGTATCATGTATGATGTGTGCAAAAGGTTCTACATGTCAGTCCTGACTGAAAATCATCCAATCTATTCTTTTTGGGAAAATGAGGAGGAAAATTGTGGGGAACCTGCATATTTGTAATGATCATGTTGTTCGGTCATTGAATTGTGTCAGGAAATCTTTTAGGCAGAGCAGTTCAAAGTTGGTCCTACCATCCATTAATGTCCACTGTGTGAGCTAGATTTGTGGTTGATCAATATTATGGTTTTCACATTGAGTCATTAGATGCACATATTTAATCCTCAGGTAAGCAGTAATATTGTCTTATTATATTTCTAACACTTCTACCTGTAACTTTGTTGTTAGTGATCTAGAGTTAAAGCCTGTTGGGACGTTAAATGTGAAGCTTGTTCAAGCCAAGGAATTAACAAATAAAGATATCATTGGGAAATCTGATCCATATGCTGTATTATACATACGCCCATTACGTGACAGAATGAAAACCAGCAAAACAATTGTTCGTGAATTCTACATTCTTTGTCCATTTTCTGTTTGTTTTTTCTTTTCCCCTCTTGTCAGTTTAATAATGCAAATGCCTTCTCTTGTTTCTCTTTCAGAACAACCAGTTAAATCCAATCTGGAATGAACACTTTGAGTTTATAGTTGAAGATGCATCTACTCAAAACTTAGTAGTAAAAATTTTCGATAATGAAGGAGTTCAGTCATCTGAATTCATTGGATGTGCTCAGTTGCCGCTAAATAGTCTTGAGCCTGGTAAAGTGAAGGATGTGTGGTTGAAATTGGTCAAAGATTTGGAAATCCAGAGAGATAATAAAAATAGGGGTCAGGTGAGAAAATTAAATGCATCATTTTCTTTTCCTTTTCCAGTATTCGAGCAATGATATTTTATTGGTTAATTTATCAAAAAAGAATGTTAGTTATCTTTCATCCTGCTTGGAGTTACAATTACTCTTTTGAAAGAGTAATCAAAATTTTATTCTAGTATAAATATGTGTTTAGGATGTACAATAATGTGCTATGCCTAAAAAGCCAAGAGATTACTGCTTAGATTATGTTTTCTTTGTATTAGAATTTACAAGTAAAAAGATAAAGGTCTTATATTTTGGCAGAGGTAAAAAAGCATTATCATTATCATGGTTGTCAAGGTGTTTCCTAGATGATTAGGTGTAGCACCCTTGGCTGGGCTCACTTGACTTATAGCAATAAGGCACCTATTTAGGTGACTAGGTGCCCGTCTAGGTGAAAGAAATGACAAAGAAACTGCCTTATTATAATATCATTGTTATTTCTACATCTTAATTATATGTTTCAATTCTTTCTCTCTCTCTCTCTCTCTCTTTCTCTCGCTATATATATATATATATATATATGATGTTTAAAACATCCAAGGGTTTTAAGAAGAGAAATAGAAAGAAAAAAATAGAAGTGTAAAGAGATATTTATTTATTTATTTGTTTGTTTTTCTACTCTCTCTCTCTCTCTCTGTTAAATCAAAAGAAGTATGGTCCAGTACAATGAAATGCTGTACATGTAAACCCATACAAGGACCTCAAAAAAATTCCACCCTCAAAAAGAAGTAGAAACGATATCATATTTAAATAGAATATGAATAGATAACCAATCTCTAAGAACAACCACCATATTGATCACATCTGCTTCAGATGAAGATTTCTCTCAAAAATCCTAGTGTTTCTTTCAACCCATATAGCCCAAAAGATTGCCAAAGGGATGGTCGACCAGCAAATTCTCCCTTTTCTTAGTCATCTCTGAAATCTGTCCATTCTTCCATAATTGTTTTCACTGTACCTCTCTCTTACTTTAAATTAAACAGTGGCTCCACCCTTGTTCTTTTTCTGTTTTGCTTACTAAGTTTCCGAAATTGAGTTATTTACACAATCGTGAACCTTGTGGCATCTTTTGTGGGGTCTCCAAAACCTATGGGCCTAAAAAAATGGCTAGCATGGTTCCTATTATACCAGAATTGCCAGGTTACCATGCTGCATGCAGTTTTCATTTTTGAACGTTGAGACTTTTTCCCTCACTGTCTATAGATCAAGTTTAAGATTATTCATCGTCTTTAGTCATACCAAGTTTAACTATGTTTCCAGGTTAGATTTTTTTTTTCTTTTTTCTTCTTTTTTATAACAGTAATCTCCTTCATCTTTATCAGCAACTGTTTTATCTTCCAGGTTAGGTTATGTCCTTGAGTTTCTCTATTAGAAGACTATCAGTTCTCATTAGGAATTTTGAGATTCTTGAGAAGAGAACTCAGCTGAGTGTGTAAAGTCAACAAAATTCTATGATAAGTATGGTGTGTAAAGTCAACAAAACTCTATGATAAGTATGGTGTGTAAAGTCAACAAAATTCTTTATCAGCAACAAAATTCTTTTTACGTATGATTTTTTTTTTGCAAACTCACTTTCAGATTAGTCCAATAGCATAAAAATCTCTTGGGAGTTGGAAGCTGCTTATTAGCAATCTTTCCTTTCTATTTATGAGTTTGGTACAAAGTTCAAATTCTCTTCTAACATCCTTTTCTTTTGGTTTTTGTTGATGATTTATCTCATGCCTTCTGTTTCTTAGGTTCACTTGGAGCTTTTGTATTGCCCTTTTGGCATGGAAAATACGTTTATAAACCCTTTTGCTCCCCAGTTCTCAATGACCTCCTTAGAGAAGGTCCTTACGAGTGGGGCTAATGGAACTGAGGTTGGTGATATTACAAGATCAGCAACACAGAAGAGAAAGGAGGTTATTGTGAGAGGAGTGCTTTCAGTGACAGTAATATCTGCTGAAGATTTGCCAGTGGTGGATTTGATGGGAAAGGCTGATCCCTATGTTGTTCTCCATATGAAGAAAACCGAAACAAAGAACAAAACTAGGGTAATTCTTGGTTTGTCCATCAAGAAAAATTGGATCAAGTTTTTGTTTATTATGTTCATGTTTTCTTGACTTCCCACTAGTCTGCCATAATTATATAGTGGTCACAGTGGTTGATGGTCATTAATACATCAATCTCAACTAAATTCTTTATGTGGATTATAACAATCAAGATATGATCTTAACTAATGTTGATTTCTCAGGTTGTGAATGAAACCCTCAACCCAGTTTGGAATCAAACCTTTGACTTTGTTGTGGAGGATGCTTTGCATGATATGCTAATATTGGAGGTTTGGGACCATGATACATTTGGAAAGGTAAAATATCCTGCTAATCTCATAATTTCACTCTTCTTGTCTAAGAGTCAGTTGAATTTGAATATTTTCTTTGTTAGCAATTTTTTCCATGTTTAGTCGCACTTATTAGGAAAACAAATATCTTATAGGTCTTAAATAGATATTGATATTTAAATATCCTTGTTAAAACTATTTTGAGAGGATAAATGGAATATGAGTCGTTTCTTGTAATATTAGTAGTAATCTATTTAGGGTTTTAGAACTAGGTAGTGTGGGCTGTGGAACATTTATGGTCAGCTGTATTATATTGGTAAAACATAATGTTCCTGAGTTGACTGATCAACTGGTCCGGCAACTATGGATTTATTGTATTAAAGGAGACTTGAAGAGTATTTACTGCTATTCAAGTTAAACACACTGATTTGTTTAAAACCCCTGATTGGCTTGGGGACAGTACTTTGTCATAGATGTTCTTAAACATTACCACTATTAAGTATTAACTATATTTGTTCATTTGCAGGACTACATGGGGAGATGCATCTTGACACTCACTAGAGTTCTATTAGAAGGAGAATACGCAGATAGCTTCCCCCTAGATGGGGCTAGGTCTGGAAAGCTGAATTTGCATCTGAAGTGGTCAGCACAACCAATATACAGGGATTCCTGATAGATGAGTGCATTGTATACTGTGAATCTTAATTTTCCTGGCATGGACTCCTTGCTCCAGAGAAAAATGTGTAGAAGAAAATTTACTCTCAGCTGCAGTACCTTTTTTTGAATTTGAGGTGCATTTGTTCCTACAGATGCTAAATCTTTAGGGGCTCGTGTAGAAAACTTAGAGTGGTGATTTATTTTTTGTAACCTGAAAATTTTCTTGTGAGGTGTGATAAATGGAAAATCTTGTATTGTGCAGATCAAGGTATGGGTATATATATTTTTCACCTTCTATGCTCTCAGGATGGCATTCCTTCACCGAGTGTCTTTTATTTCTTGCCTTTTCCTTCTTTGTATGTTGTGCATACATCATACTTTCCGCGGTCAATTGTTGTTGACTTCCGTCTAGTGCTTGGCCAATTTCTACCCTAGTTGCTTAGGGATTTAAGCTGAAGAGGAACCCGCTTCCCTTGGTTTGGATCAGAGATGCCAATGAATCAGATTTAGTGGTATACCCGCATTGACCCAACACTATTTGGTTAGGATTGGGTCAGCCTTTGTTGGGTTGGGTTTTTGGGTTGAGGATGTCCCATGTGAAACCAAGGTTCAAATTATCGATATGTATTGGCCCGTATCGTGCCAGTGGCTTCCCAATATGCCCCTACAGGGAGTGTATCGGGGTTCTGACCTGTTCAGGGGGTGGAGGAGCCTTAAACTGGCCCCCCTGAACTGGTTTTGAAAAAAAAATAAAAAAAATGGATGAAAACATTACTGATATCACCCAATACGCCCCTACCGGTGTATCGGATGTATCGATATTTTGAACCTTGTGTGAAACTCGACCTATTCACATTATTGTATTGAAATATTTGCAAATATAGCATTTTTTTTTGGCAATCAACAACAAAATTCATTCATTACGGGGAATGTGGTAAATCACTTCCTCCTGATTACATGCATCAACGTTTTCATCAAAACATGCATGATATGCTAACATATGAGCTAAAACATTATGATACCTATTAATATGTACAAATTTAACATGATCCATGGTATTTACACTATTCTGAATTTGCTCTATGTAGATAGTAGATACAACCCAGCCAATTGAACTCATTGTCTCTGTCAGCTAATTTCTCAGTTATACTTTGAGCATCAGAAAATACATTAACCTTGGCGTAGGTGTAGGCTGTGTAGCCTAACTGTTGTGCTGTTTTGAGACCTTGGATTATGTTCCATCGTTCTGCATCATAACTTTCTTTGGCTCTTTTTTTACCCTTTGTTACAACAATGGAGTTTTAATTGGAGAGTATAACAAAACCAAACCAGCATTACTAGTTGCAGGATCAAAAGACCCACCAGTGAACACTTCAATTGCGAGCTCTTCTTGAGATTGACCCTGATTAATCTCAACATTTAGGTCCAAGTCCAATTGCTCCGGCTGCTGTTGGTCCTGCTAAAGCATGTAATGCTGAGCTTTAAAAACCACAGTTTGGGGATCAATGTGTTTATTCTGAAACACTCCATTGTTTCTTGCATCCCATATTAACCTCATGATCAATGTTTTCAACCTGCTGTTGATCTGGGCAGTCGAACCGTTCAAACCGTCACCTGGCCAGGATTCTGGGTCCGGTTCAGTCAAGACCTGTTGGACGGTTAAAAACCGTTGACTTGGTCAAGAACCATTTGACCCATCCGGTTTGACCATTGACCCGTTTGACCCGATGATCGGGTCGTGGGTTGTACACTTAATGCATGTAAACTTTTAAAGGCCATAACTTTGCACTCCGATGTCCAATTGATGTGCTTTTTTTTTTTTTGGATTTTGGATAACTTTTTGAGGTCTATGTGTCCCAAGGGGCCATAAGTGCCTTGCCCCACTATTTTTGCGAAAAAACCCTTTTTTGGCCTCGAATTGCAATTTTTAATATTTTTTATAAATAAAAAAAATTAAAAACCGATTTAAAAAACATAAATTAAATATAAAATAATACATATAATATATCTAAAACATATTTATACATCATTTATTGCTAAAATATATATTTATAGACACACACATACATATATATATATATACTCGATACATATTTACCTTGACGTGACATTATCTGAACCGTTTGACCCGGCCAGTCGAACTGGTGACCCACAACCCACTGGTGACCCCACTTCCATCATCTTTTATTATGTCTGAAACCATACATCTGATCCGTGAATGCCCCAACGTTGCATTTGGTATTGGTATTTTACCTACTAATGTGGAACCCAAAGTCAGTTAGAGCATTTGCCTTGTGACCATATGTCATTGACTACAGATGTGCTATGTGAGTGACGGGTGGATCGAGTTCAGCATCCTATTTATTTGTTCAGCTTTGCACTGAGCTAAAATCCATAGGTCCCATGCCAAACCAAATCCATTGACATGAGTTCCAAAAGCCATGGAAGATTCTTCATTGATGCGAAGATGGGTGCATATAGAATTCAGAATTCTTCCGTTCCGTCTTGTTCTTATATTGAGCTTTCTATAACTCAAGGATTTTAAAATCGGACCGGATAAGGAACCGTTTTGGGTCCAATTCCGGGGTTGAATGGCCCTATTATGGACAGTCTACTCTGACAAAAAATAAAAAATTAAAAAAAAAAACATAAAAAGGTCAAAAATTGTTGTCTAGGCGGTTCGATGGTTTGCTTGTCTGAATTAGCGGTTCACTAACCAAATCAACGGTTTTTTTCCAAAAATGGTTTTGGGGTGAAATAGAACCCATCAGGTTACTAGTTCCCGGTTTTCCAGTCCAATCCGGTTTTGAAAACACTGCTATAACTTCTTCCAAAAAAAAAAAAAGAAAAAAAAGAGCTTCCTATGGTTATGTTCATAGCAAGCTTCAAAATTTCGTTACGTATCGGCCCATATCGGCCAATACGTATCGTATCTTTGAGGTTCCAACACAGGAAACGGTACCAAATCTTTAGTACTGTTCCTTTTTGTCATGTTGGAAGCGTATCATGCCCGTATCGGTAATGTTTCAGCGAGTATCGACCTGTTTCAGTGTTGTATTGGTCGATACACTATAATGTGATTTTATCGTTGCGAAAAACGGAAAAAAAAAATCATTCGAAAGAGGGGGTCTAAACCCATTTCAAAAGCCCTCCTTTTCCCCAAACCCTCTAAAAACCTTCATGCCATTTCTAGAGATTGAAATCTAGCCAAAATCCACCAAAACATCCACAATTTTTCAAGATCCAACAAGTTTTTCAAGATTGTTAAAAAATGAGAGAAAATATATATTTTTTTTCAATTTTTTTTTACAATCTCAACCAATATTTTTGTGTTTTTTAGTTTGGATGCTTAGAAACATCTTTGTGTATGTTGATATGCTATTCTTGTGAAAAAAATCTCACTTATTTTGCTCCTATAAGTAGATCTTTATGAATATTTGAAGAAATTACAAAATAGTATACAATCTAAAGGAAATGAACATTTTAGGTTTTTCTTGTAATCTATCTCTAAAAATTGATTATGTTGTAGATCTATGGATGATCTACCATGTCCATAGATCAATTTAAATCTCTTCTAAATAATTGATTTTTTTTTAATTTTCAGAATAATATATAATATATAGATAATCTCTCTAATTTTATGTGATCTAACCCTATAGGTTGAGTATGTTGTAGAGCTAAGACTGACTTCAGTATATTGAAATATCATGTGAAAAATTTGATGTGTTTTTTTATTTTTATTTTTAGATTATAAATATTTATTTATTTCTCTAATTTTTTGTTATGAATTAAATTCTAATAATAAATATTTACAGTAAATATATGGATGATCTATTATGTCCATAAACCCATTCAATTTTTCTGTAACATATTTACCTTTTAAATTTTAGTTTAATTTTTAGAATAAAATATGCAAAATAATTATTTGAATAAAAATAAATAATTATTTAGTTTTGAGAATGAAGCATGCAAATTTTCCATCTACTATGTCCATAAATCCATTCAATTTTTCTGTTACATATTTACTTTTTTTAATTTTAATTTAATTTTTAGAATAAAACATGCACAATAATTATTTGAATAAAAATAAATAATTATTTAGTTTTTAGAATGAAACATGCAAAATAAAATAATTATTAATTTTAGAATAAAAATAATAGATGTCCATGAAGCCATTCAAAAAGATATTTGTTTAATTGTTAGAATAAAACATGCAAAATAATTATTTGAATAAAAATAAATAATTATATAAAAAAATACAAAAAAATGTTTGATTCAATAATTACATATTTTACATAATTATTTGATTCAATAATTTTCAATTGTTTAATTGGATTAGATAACACTTGGAAAAATGTTTAAAACAATTAAAAATAATTTTTAGTAATATTTAAAAATATTTTAAAAAATACAGAACAAAAGGCATTGATATATTTCACATGATAATCTATAATTTGAATGTGAATATAATTGTGGCCTAAAAAATATGAAAACAATTATTATTTGTTTAATTGGATACTTGTACTAGATAATAATTGAAAGCAAAATATTTAATTTTTTTTTAAAAAATTCATAATAACAATTGAAAAATAGTTTACTAACACATTAGCACTTAAAATTGGATAATTTATATAATAATTGATATTTTATGCGATTCATGTAAAGTTGTAAAAAACATATTGGGATTCAAATGTTGAATTTGTAAACTATAATAGATTTAAAATTTGAAGTTGGAACTGAATTAAGTACTTTATTAGATAGTATGTTTTTGCTCCTGTTTGTTGATTATAATATGTTTTTTCATAAAACCCATTAAAGCATGTAATTTTTATGTATAAATCTATAAATAGTTCATTCAACTTATATTTAGTGATATTGATGTTTATTTATGACTTATTAGAGTATTTATAGCATTTCCATGTGGTTCCATGCGTATCTTAATTTTTCGTTCATATCTATGCAAATCCAAGGCGTATCTCGATATGTCTCTTAAATGTGTCTTTCCAATACACATAGCGTATCCGATACTTTGAACCTTGATTTATAGTGCTTCAAGTTCTAAGGCAGCAAAATGTATGACTGGATTTATTTAAGATGAATAAAGAAAATTTTACGTTTAACAGCAAAAAAAATTTTTTTGTTGTGTACTGCTTGGCAGGATTCAAATCGAGGATAACCTTACAAGGTCAATTAATTTTTCTCCTCTAAATTTACTAATGATATCAATACCATACATATCACCTATTTCTGATAAACGGAGAGATGGTCAGATGCTATGGTCAATCCAAATCGTCCATTTG